GCCAAAACTGGGGTGGAGGGAAAACAGGCTGTAACAGTGTGATGGCCACAGTAAGGGGAGGTTCCAGGTTCCCTGCCCCACCCAACGAAAGCTGGAACTGAGCAGCGAGAAGAAAGGAAGGAGATCAAGAAGACTGGAGGAGGGACATGGAGCAGAGACATGTGAAGAAGCTGTTCTTGCTTCTCAGCCTTGGACTTGTACCAGGGACTTGGGGACATGGACAGAGACACTTGAAAGAGAGGCACCCATGGGAGGCTGGCAGTGACAGCCCTAATCTTGACTGGGGTTTTGATTTTGCTCTTTTCCTTCCAGACTAACCTGACTCCTTCTGCCCCTTTCTTGTGGTTTTTATAAGAAGGTGGCTTAGACTTGTGGCAAGCTTTTGGGCCTCAACTTCCCTGCTCTGGGCCAATCCTGTTTGGCTGTGCCTTTGCCCATGAGGGGATGGGTAACTTTGGGTGCTTGATTTGGAAACTATATTCTTTCTCTTCCCTTTTCTTTTTGGGACCCTAATTGTATTAAAGTTATTTTCTTGAAGATCTTATGCACTAGAATATGTTTTGTCTTGATACAGCAGATGGCAGACCCCATTGAGAACAGGCAGGTATGAGGGACCCGGGGTGCCCCTCAGCCTGCCCTATAACAACAGGGTACAAAGTTTCAGTTACGCAAGATGAGTCAGCTCTAGAGCTCCGCTGTCCAGAAGGACACCCACAGTTGACAGAGTGATTTATATACTTACATTTTTCCTAGGAGAGTAAATCTTATATTTTCACAAAAAAAAGAAGAAAATAGTAAAAAGGTGGGTGGGAGGAAAGATTTGGAGGTAATGGATATGATTATGACATAAATTGTAGAGATGGCTCATGGGTATACACATATCTCCAAGCTTATCAAGTTGTATGCGTTCAACAGATACAGCATTTTATATATCCAGCATACTTCAGAAGTGGTGTTTAGAAATAAAAAATAAAGAAAGTGAAAAGCAAGACCCAACCATATGCCATCTGTAGGAAATGCAATTTAAATATAAAACACAGGTAGGTGAGAATTAAAATGACAGAATAAGATACCTAGCAAACACTAAATCTAGACAGTCTGAAGTTAACTATACTAATAACAGGCAAAGAAAACTTCAACATATTCAAAATATTACCAGAAACAAAAAGGATCATTCAATAAAGACAAAAGAGTCATCAATTAATCTTAAATGTGTATGCACACTGTAAAAGAACTTCAAAATCCACACACAAAAAAACCTGATAGAACAGAAAGGAGCAATAGATGGATCCACATTTAAAGTTGGGGATTGCAACAGGCCTTTCTCAATAAAAGGTAGAAAAATACACAGAAAATTGGGAAGTATATAGAATGCTTGGACAACACTATCAAAAAACTAGAAATAATTGACATTTACAGAGCACTCTTTGCAACAGCAGCAAACAGAACATTTTTCTCAAGTGGATATGAAACATTGACCAACATAAACACATACTAGGTCATAAAAGAAATCTTAACAAACTAAAAGTAGTCAAATCATATAGAGTTTGTCCTTTAAATACAAAAGAATTAAATGAGACACTAGTGGGCCTCCCTAGTGGTGCAAGAGGTTAAGACACAGCCTATGAAGCTACCCGCAGCCACTGCAGCATGAGTTTGAGCCCCAGCCAGGGAGGTGACACACATGGTACAACAGACCTCTCCTGTTTCACCTGCTGCTCCCCTCAGCAGTGTGTTTCAGTAGATCTACCTGTTCTGCTCTCCACTCTGTCTCTGGTGAATCCTCTCACCTCTTGCACTTCTGGCCTATACTCCAGTTCTTATATGCATAAATAAATAAATAATCAATCAATCAATCAATCAATCAATAAATAAATAAATGAGACACTAGTAACAAAAATATACCTAGGAAATCCCTAGAATTTAGAAATTAAATGAACATTTCTAAAATCCATGTCAAAGAGGAAATCACAAATTAGAAAATATTTTGAATTGCATGAAAAAAAATCAAAATTTGTGAGATGAAGTTAAAACAGTGCTTCAAGAAAACAGGAGAGCATTGTATGCTTTTATTAGAAAAGAAGAGAGGTCTATAATCAGTTATCTAAACTTCTGCCTTAAGAATCTATAAAAAGAACATGTTAAGACCAAAATAAGTAGAAGAAAAAAAAATGTTGAAGGAAAAAGAAGAAATTAATGAAGTAAGAAATAGACTAAAAATTGAAAAAATAAAATCAAGATATATGATGCCAGGTTTGGGGGTTCCTGATTTCTTGACAATGGCCGTGAAAGGGTTCAAGGCCTTATCTAGACAAAGCAAAGTCATTTACTGACAGTGCTCTAGAGAAGGATCCAAGCAGGCAGGGTCCATAGAAGAACAATTACCCTGAATAGTGGGGGACTCCTGGCTTAATTGGGGTGCAGGGAGCTGCTCACTTAGTCCCTTCCTGGGGTTTACTGCATAGATACTCCTGGGTGTTGGTTTATGAATCCCGGGGGAGTTTCTAAGTCACCCACCTCTACTGCGCTCCAGGGTGTGGTTTCTGTAGCTCCAACAGCAGGTTGGTCCTGGGGTTTGCCTCCCCCCTCTAAGCACTTCTTCCTCTGCTGGGCCTTTAAGAGGTTCTACCTGTAAGTAGGGGTGAAGAACTGCCATTCCCCCTCTGGGCATTTTATGGCTCATCCTGGGCTTTATCTACTCCAGTAAGTATTTTCTGGGGTTCCAAATATGTTGGCCATTAATTTTCTTTTAGGCACTGAACTGCCTAACATATGCTTTTTGAAAAAATATATATACTTGTTGATAAAACAATAGTGAATTCGATAATGAAATAATTTGAAACAAATTAACAATATCAGGAATAAAAGAGGGATCATTACTACATATCATGGAGAGAATATTATTAGTAGCTTTATGCTAATAAATTCAATACTTTAGATGAAATTGGCAAATACCTTGAAAGACAAAACATACTATAGCTTGCTAAAAAGGAAACAAGAAATTAGAATAATCCTATATATATATATATATTAATGAAAGTGAATTCTTAATTTAAACCTTTCCACAAGGAGAGCATATGATCAGGATGATTTTCCTGGTGAATTCTATAAAATAGTTAAGGTGAAACATAATACCAGTTTTATACATAACCTTTCAAAAATAGGAGGAAACACTTCCCAAATAATTTTAGGAGTCTGTAATTGCCATGAACCAAAACTAGACAAAGACTGTACAAGAAAAGTAAGCTACAGGGTAATATCCTTTGTGAACAGAGACCCAAAATCCAGAACAAAATGTCAGCAAATTCAATCTAGTAATACACAAAAAAAGATAGTATATCTTGACTAATTGGAAATCACCCCAGGAAGGTAATATTCATTAACATTCAAAAATCAATCAATGTAATTCAGAATAAAAGGGAACAGTCCTATTATCACCTCAATAGGTAGAGAAAAATCGTTTGAAACCTTTAAGACCTATTCCTGATAAAATCTCTCAGCCAACTAGGAATAAAAAGGAATTTTCTTAATCTGATAAAGGATTCTAAAAAAACAACCTACAGCCTGCAGCATACCAGGTAGTAAAAGACTAAAGGCTTTACTTCCTAAATTGGGAAGAAGACAAAAATGTCTACTCAACACTTCTATTTAACACTGTACTGATGGTCATTAGCAGGGAAAAGATATAAAAGGTGGCAAGCAGAAAATCCTAAGTGATGGACAAAACATTCCCCAAAAAACACTAGTGCTAACAAGTATGTTTAACAAGGTCTGTGTACAAAGTAGGTCGTGCTTAAAGAAACTTCCAGCATTCCACCAGAATAAGAAAATTCTGCAGTGAAAAGAAGCTGTCTGAAGTCATAATGGCTACCCGTCTGTAAGTTTGTCCAGACTCACAGATGCCCAGCGCTAGGAGCGGGCCCTAGGGTGAAACACACTCTCTGGTGTTCATGTGGGGCCATCGGTTATAACAAATGTCCCACGTTAGTGGGGGTCTTGAGAATGGGGGAACCTGTATATGTAGAAGGCAGGGAGAAATGGGGAATCTTTGTACCTTACTTTCAATTTTGCTGTGACTCTAAAATGGCTCTCAAAAAATAATTTTTGACAAGTCAGAATGGCTAGAATGTAGTGGGATGAAGGAGACCAGGAGGACCCAAATGCCCGGTTCAGGTAGGTTCTGAGGCTGTTTGTGAAGACCAATCACACCTGGAGTTCCATCATGAGCACATTCGTCAGCGGACCTGGGCCTCTCCGTACAGTTTACATGCCACAAACTCTGCATTTAAAAACAAAGACAAAGGCAGGCATGGAAACTTGACCAAGTGTTTGAGACAGAAAGAGGCAAAAAGAATGAAGCGAAGAGGTGCAGCCTCTGAGGAACCCTGCAGAGGGGTGAGAACCTGACACCAGTGAGTAAATGCAGGTCATCATCTGGATCAGGGCCCAGCCAGCAGACACCACCCAAGCCCGGAGCTAACGAGGCTGTCTGCTGACACTTCTTTTTGCCCAGGGGAAGGAATGGGCACTGCAGGGTGGCAAGGAGGGAGGATGGTTTTGAAGCTGGGGTTTAGATTAAGTCATGCACAGGAGGAAAATGGACATGGTAAACAGTGAGGAAAGGATTCAAACAACAATGTCTGATACTTATGGAGCATTTACCCACTGTCACAAAGTGTTCTCAATTCCTCACTCGTATGAATTTGTTTACTGAGGCTCTTTGCTCCATGAGGTGGGTAGGGTGATTCTCCCCATTGTATAGAGATGGAAACTGACACCCACAGAGGCTAAATAAGCCCTTGAAGATAGCATACGCGGTAGGTGCAGGCAACGAACTGGGTATTAGATCCTGGTACGCTGACACTAAAGCTTGTTCTCCTGAGCACTGCTCAGTACCCCAGTTCTGTCTGTGCAGCTCGGGAGGCTGCTTGCGACGCATGCTTAACTGTGACAGTGTGATGTGCACACAAAGGGGAGGTTCCAGGTTCCCTTCCCACCCAAGGAAGGGTGGAGCTGAGCAGTGGGGAGAAACTAAAAGATAAGAAGTCTGGAGGCGACACACGGAGCAGAGACAGGTGAAGACGCTGTGCTTGCTTCTCGGCTTTGGACTTGTACCAAGGACTTGGGGACATGGAAGGAGACACCTGAAAGATGCGGAGATGTGAGTGAGAGACCGTGGGGAGGCTGACAATGGCAGCCTTTATCTTGACTTGGGTGTTGATTTTGCTCCTTTCCTCCCAGACTTGCCTGCCCCCATCTGCCCCTTTCCTATGGGTCCCCACCAGAAGGTGCCTCAGACTTCTGGCAAGTTTTTAGGCCTCAGTGGCCCCGCTTTGGGGCAACCCTGTTTGGCTGGGCATTTACCCATCAGGGGATGGGTAAGTTTGGGTGTCTCATGAGGAAACTATTTTAACTATATTCTTTCTCTTCTCTCTATTCATGCTAATTGCATCAAAGTTGTTTATTACTGAAGGTTTTTCACACTAAAAGTATGTTTTGTCTTTATGGAGAGGATCCAGAACCCATTTAGAGCATGCAGGTTTGGGGCTCTGGGGTGCTACAAACATAACTACTTATTGAGCCAAGTTGCCCTGACCTGGGAGGGACTCCAGGGAAGGGGAGATAATGCAGCCATCCATGTTCACAGTGAAAGGCCAGGAGGAGTGGGGTGGCACCCAGGTGGCACCTTTGCTACACCAGGTGGGTCTGTGTGGGCCTCTGCACCCAGGAGGCTGGCATGGAAGGAGATGCAGCAGGGCTGATGGCTGTAACTGCTGTGGACAAAAGCAGGTGAATGACTGAGAGTCTGCAGACTTCTCTCCATGCGGGAGCCCAGCCACTGTGGGGGAGGGATTAGGACACTGGGGTAGGAGGAGGGCACACCCAGGCTTGTTGAGATTCTATGAGGATATTTTACAAGAATCAGACTTTCTGGGTCTTGTGAAATTGATTTTATTTTTATGTCTTAAGTTTGTGCCAGGATGTTATTTCTCAGTTGATTTCGTTTGACTACTTCTAGCTCCAGCTGCCCTCCCTTCTTCCCCCTGTCGCTGTGCATTCATCCCCACATGCAAGCAGAGCCTACGAACAGACCAGACAGCGCCCTGCCCGCCTGCCATGACCCGGAAAAGGGGTGCTCTTCTAAGTCCAGTCACCTTTGTGAAGTCAGACCTCTCCTTAACCACCAGCTACTGGTTTCACTTTTTCTTTCTGTTTTTAAATTTTCTTTGCCTTATTTCCTCTTTGCTGGAGGGTACCACTTTTTTATAACATAGAGATATAGTGACTACCAAAGCTCAAGAATTGAAAAGTCCCAGGAACACTAACCTTTGTTTCCTGCCTTTGGCCCCAGCTAACAGCTCCACCCAAACATCAGTGCCCTTAGGTAAGGCAACGTCCTACTTAGGACTCAACTTTCCCCTGAGGCTCTCCCTCATAGAAGCAGCCTCAGGAACAGGGAAAAGAGGAAGGGATAGGGGCACACAGTTATTGAACCCCGATTCTGTGCCCTGAAAATACTGGGTATTCTCCAGGTTAACACTCATGTTTACTAGGTGTTGGACTCCTATACATGTCATTTGAACCAAGATGGTCTTTAAAAATACCAATTAAGGCCTGCCACCTTCCTTAACAAACCTTGTAAGGGCCCATTGTTCTTAGGCCTGCAAGACTGGTCTAGTCCCTGATTACAGCCATAACTTCATCACATGGCCTCCTCCTCCTTCATCTAGGGACTTAAGTCTGCAGAACCTCAGATCTCTGCTTAAACGCCATGTTATGAGGAAGGCTGGGGGATGCAGTGCTGAGGGGCCTGGCTGCTACAGTCAAACTGGGTTTAAATCCTATCTCTGGGCCTGGAGGTCTGTCTGATTTGGATCAGGTGCCAGTCCATAAGACACTCAGGGCCAAGGCACTGCAACACCCAGTGCTGCCCTCTAGGGCCCGGGAGTGAAACAAATTCACTGGGAGTATCGAGGGCTGAGAGTAGGGGAGAGATGATTCACCAAAGCAAGTCAGGAAATGTGCCCCAAGAAAGGCACGCAGATACAGGTGTGACAAACATCCACTTGTTTGCATGCTGTGTCCCTGACTTTGGCCACACGCTCTTCCTCCACGTCACTTGCCTTATTCATGTATCACGTGGACTGTTTATTTTTTTACAGTATTTTATTTCACATTTTTCACCACCCCCCCTTTTCTGCATTTAGAGCTTTATTTTTAAATAAATTTATTTATTTCACTGTCACAAATAAAAATGAATATTACTTTCCATAAGTGGGAGGTAAACTTAATATTTTTTTACCGTGAAAACAAAGCAACATTATTAAATTCCTCTTAGAGATAGCAGCCTGCTAAAAACGCTCTGAGATTGTGGCCTTGTTCTCTCTTTGTTAAAAAGAGAGATTATCAAGTGTTAGAGAGGTGTAAAGACATACTAACACCAAACTGAGCCTTTCTCCCTGATGTAATCAGAAGGCCTAAGAAAGAATTGAAAAGGAAATTACTTTCTCACTATGTGATTCAATGTGATGTGCCATATCCATACAGCATCGAAAAGTCATTTTCCATGCCACTTGTGATCCTCGGTTACACCACCAGTGCCACCTGCCCAGCACTCACACAACAGTGTCAGAGTATTTGAACTTGGTCAAAATCGTTGAATGAATAGCCAAAGAGAGAAAGATGAGGACTAGCTGGTTATTAAAGAGGATGGGAGGCAAAACAGCAAGAGAGGACATTACTTTGTCTGATTGAGCTCCTCACATGAGACATCAAAGGAATTAGCTCAATGACCTTGTCTCTCTCCTTGCCTCCCATGCAGCTACTCCTCCCCAGGTCAGAACAGTCCTGCTAAGCTGATACCTACACCATGTCCCCAGTAAGTACCCTCTCTTTCTGCCCAGTCAGAAACCTGAGCCCATCCCCGACCTCCGGTTCCTTCATCCCCTTCTCCATAACAGTTTCCAGCATATTCAGTCATTTCCACCTTCTAAATATTTAGCGTCTCTCCATTTCTTCGCCTCCACATTGCAGTCACCGTGGTTCACACTACCATTGTCTCCATCCTGGATAGGCTACCTCTGCCTCTTAGCTATTGCTCGGCTTCCCCTTTTGCTCTAATTCTTCCATCCACTTTCCATCTATCATCCAGAGTGATGGTTTTAGAAAGTGAATTCAAATGCTCCCTCCCCTGCATTAAGACTTCAATGGTTATCAAGGTTAGATTAAAAACTCTGCAGCCAGGCCTACCTGACTGTGTCACCTGGACTTGTCTTGATCTCCCACCTCGTCCCATTCCACCCAGCAGCGCCATGCCTGCGCTGGAGACCACGTGTTCTTCTTCCTAAGGTCCAGGATGAAGTTGCTTCTGTTTTTGGAGTCATTCTCCCCATGCCCTCCTCCGGCTATTTCTGTCTCATCTGTAATAACTTCTCTGACCCCCAATACAGAATGTGCCCCTTATCATAAGACCCCATTCTCTGCCCTTATGCACATTTTCACACTATATCATGTATAATTGTATATTTAGTTATATATATATATAGTTTATATGTGTGCATTTGCTTAATGTCATTCTCCATCAGACTGAAAATTACATGAGAAGAGGGAGCAGGTCTGTCTTCCTTCTTCGCTGATACATCCCCAGCCATTATCCCAGAGCACAGCACTCATTTCTGTTTGTTAAAAAGCATAAATAAATACTTTCCATAAAGCAAATAATGTCCTTAATGTCTGAAATTGACTGAGAGGAAAATGCATTGCATTAGAAGAAGAGAATTTGTGGGTTAAGCATTAAGTACATTAAATGTAGTTGGTAAGATGTTTGGTAGTGGATAAGGTATAATTATGTGGCTAAATATGTTTAGGGATGATTTGTGTTTTATGTTTGACTGGTGGAAATAAAGTCTAGGAATTCAAGAAAACATGGAGGGTTCATTAGGACTCTGGACAAAGCAGACAGTATAACCCAGAGGGTGACTGTGGTGGCTCAATGACTTTGAATTAATTACCTAATTTAAGGTCCTGAATGACCTAATTACCACCTTGAAATCACAGGAGTGAGACATTTGATGTGGCTGGATCCAAAAAAGAGGAAAGAGTGTCCCCTTAAAGACTAAGCCATGAGCACCCACTCCACTGCCCTGCTTCTCCTGCTAGTTACACCGGAAGTGGAAAACCTGCCTGACAGTGGGGCTGGTACAACATGGAGTCAGACTAGCTCTACTTCAGAGTGGAACCAGGTGTAAATAGGAGGAGTTTGGGGAAATGATGAAACATGGCATCATAGGGGATGATGCTGAGGGTGTGTGATAAAGGAATAAACTGAACCTGAACTTGAGAATTTCTTAAGCAAGTTACCTTCTCATGTGGCAGCCAGCATGGATTAATTAAGGTTTTTTAAAACCACAGTTCCTTCCCTGTCCCCAGAGTGGGACGTTTGTTATAACTGATGACCCCACATGAACATATCATTATCAAAGAGTATGCTTCATCCTAGGGCCCCCTCTCGGTGCTGGGCATCTATGAGTCTAGACAAACGTACAGACAGGAGATGTGTAATGTAGACAGACTGGACTCTTATGTGATTAGTACATGCACACTGTGTGTGTGTGTGTGCGTGTGTGTGTGTTCAGAACAATCCCCAGAACTTAGAAATTGTGAGTGGATTTGTTAAAAGTATCAACTGAAGAGTTAAGTTTGATCATCAACACACAGTCCTGACTAGGTAGAACAGAAGTGTGTTGGATTCAGCAACTATCAGTTTCAAAAGTTAATTGTTAAATGTTCTGAAATTTTGTGAACTAGTTGTCAAGCACAGACAATATTAAATATTCAATGTTTTAAGCTTAGCTATTTATAACTAAGTTATAGAAACAGCCTAAGTGCCCAAAGACAGAGGAGTGAGTGGATCAGGAAAATGTGGTGTATATTTGCAATGGAATAGTACTCAGCAATAAAGAAGATGAACTCCTGTCATCTGCCAAAAATGGATGGAATTAGAGGGGATGATATTGCTAAGCAAAACAAGTCAGAAGGAGAAAGACAAATGTCAGCTGTCTCACTTATATGTGGAATATAGAGAAACATAACAAAGGATTAGTCAAAACCAAACCAATAATAAACTCTAAACAACTTACTGTAAAACTGAAGCAACAAGAGGGAGAGTGTGGTGGGGTGAAAAGGGGGAAGGGAGACCCAATGGAAAACAGTGGAGGATTATTGGGGTATGGGTAGTGGGCAGGGCTTGAAAGTATACATTTGTAGAGGTTTGAACCTATAAGCCCTGGGGAAGGTGCAAAGATGTAAAACTCTTTGACCTCAATAAATATAATTTGGGGAAAAAAATTAAATGCTTTATACCTACAATTAAATAAATTGTATTAAAAACAAAGACAACAAATACTTAGAACTCATGCTTTCTAATTACATTTTCCTGTGCCCTATGCTTCGGAAGTGATTCCCCTCTACTCTGTCTGCATGGCGGGAGCTCTGCAGAGGAGTACACCCCTGCACGTTTCTTCTCGACTCAGAGTTCATTGACATCCCCTTGGTGGCTTGAAATTGGCCAAGGTAGGGGTGTTTACACCATGGAAATCAGAAAGTGCTACAAGCCAGAGCTTGATTTATTGTTTTGTTGATTGTCTAGACTTAAGAAAGTGATGGAGAAAATGTTAATAATGCCAATTAAACTTAAAAGCCTGTCGTGTCTGTAAATGTTACACTGTGGATGACACAAAAATTGAGGAAATAGTCTCCCAGTATTTGAAAACTATTATCTGGTTCAGCAAAGCAGTCATTCACATCATTGACGAATGAATGGAGTTCTGGCATGCCTTCCTTGTTTCACTTTCATCTTACTTGTTAATATAAAAGAAAATATCAGCCAACATTCATGTCAGAACTATACCCATTCACCAACTGCTTCCTTAGGTTGGCTATAGATACAAGAGTTCAGCAAAAATACTTGAAAGCTATGAGAATCAATTGGATTATATGGAACTTACAATAAACGGTCATGCATATTTTAATATTAACAAATTTTAACAAGCTTACAAATGTACAGTATAGTTATATCTTTGAGAGCTGGTTGTTGAACATTGCCCAGCACACGACTTGGTACCTCCCAGACCAAAGCAGGGCACTGGGCATAAGACTCGCTGGGCTGTGATCAATAACACTGATAGCTCTGTGGAAAGAAATGCTGAAGCAAAGGAGCTGAACTCCATGAAACCCTACAAGGATGCCGCTAAGGGGATTCTCCCTGCTTATCCAATCATACCAAAGCGAGAAGACATTCGAGATTGGGAGTAAGAAGCATTACGGTCACTTTCTGCTGGGGAGAGCAAAGGTTTCATCAGAGGACATCCCCATCTAGATCACAGTTTCTCAACCCTGGCACTATTTTTATTTTATTTATTTTTTTATGTTTTTTTTAATTTAAATTTTATTTTTATATTCCCCATACAATTACAACCCCCTTATTTTGACCCCAAGCTCTCCTTTCCCCGTCCCCCACCTCCCATAGAGTGTCTCTGGTTCATAGTTGTTTGTTGATTTTGATATTTTCTTTCTTATAGTTATTCTTTTTCCTGATCCCTTATTTAAGTTCTCTAGATTCCTGCTATGAGTGAGACCATCTGGTATTTTTCTTTTTCTTTTTGACTTATTTCGCTGAGCATGATCCCTTCCAGAGCCATCCATGTTGCTGCAAATGGCATGTGTTTATCTTTTTTGAAGGCTGAGTAATATTCCATGGTGTATATGTACCACATCTTCTTGATCCAGTCATCTATTTTTGGGCATTTGGGTTGTTTCCAAAGCTTAGTTATTGTAAATAGTGCTGCTATAAACATAGGGGTGCAGGTGCTCTTTGGGATTGATGTTTCTGTGTCCTTTGGGTAAATACCTAGGAGTGGAATTGCTGGATCATATGGAAGCTCTATGTTTAGTAGGTCAAGAAATCTCCACACAGCTCTCCATAGTGGTTGGACCAGTTTGCACTCCCACCAACAGTGCAGGAGAATTCCTTTTTCTCCACACCCTCGCCAACATTTGTTGTTGCTAGTTTTTTTAATATGTGCCATTCTCACTGGTGTAAGATGGTATCTCATTGTAGTTTTTATTTGCATTTCCATGATTACAAGTGATGTTGAATATTTTTTCATATGCCTGTTGGCCTGCCACTATTTTTAAACAGGTAATTCTTAGGGTGGGGACCTGTCTCCATTGTCTTGCAGGATATTTAATGGCATTGCTGAGCTCTACCCTTAGATGCCAATAGCACCTCCCCAACTGTAACAACCAAAAATGTCTGCAGACATTAGTAATGGGGAGTAAAATTGCTAGTGATTGAAATATCACTTAAGTCCCATTCAATCAACATATTGTGATTATCACCTACTACATGCATAGCACAGTTGCAGGAACTTGGAATACAAAAGTTAACAGAGCATAGAGGCCTGCCAGTCTGCATGGCTTTGATTTTCTCCAGCAGAGTTTCTTCACCAGTGCTCCATGAGAGCAGAAATTCACATTTATATCTTGAAGTCTCCAGCCTGTTATGACAGAGGACCTGGCACCAAGGTCCTCACTAAATGTTGAGCTGGGTTTATCTGAACACCTTGCCCAGTGAACACACCCCTACTACACCTGCAGCCCCATCTCATTCAGCTATGCTGAGCTATTTGGATTTCCCATTGTTCTCCTGCCCTGTTTCTCTTTGAGATTTTTCTTAATGTTGCTCTCTGGCTGTGTTAGCTTCCTATTGATGCATGCATAACAAATTACTCCAAACATGGCAGTTTAAATGACATCTATTTATTATCTCATAATTTCTGTAGGTCGGAAGTCTGGCCACACTATGCCCAGGTTCTTTGCTCATATTCTCAAGGTGCTATCTGACTGCTGTCTCATCAGGAGTGCAGGGGATTTCTTCCAAGCTCACTCGGGTTGTGAGCAGAAAGCAGTTGCTTGTTGGCTGCCCTTCGGGGATTACAGTCAGCTCCAAGAGACAACAGTCCTGTCCTAGTCACACGGACAACTCCATCTTCAAAGCCAGACATGGAGAACTCACACATCAAATCCACCTCATTCTTTGAATCTCTCTGACGTTGATCTCCTTCTCCAGGAAAGATATTGGCCCTTTTATTTTTTTTTTAAGATTTTTATTTATTTATTTATTTATTTAAGAACCGGGGTACAGGCCAGATGCACGGGAGGGTGAGAGGATTCACCAGAGACAGAGCAGGGAACAGAACAGGCAGACAGACCAAAAGCACTGCTGAGGGAAGCAGCGGGCGAGACAGGAGAGGTCTGCTGCACCATGTGGGATTCTCGTCAGCTGGCGGGGATCGAATCTGCACTGCAGAGGTTGCGGACAACTCCACAGCATGGAGCTCAACCACCTGTGCCACAAGGGAGGCCCAAGATCTTGGCCCTTTTAAAGACTCATGTGATTCATTCAGGTTCACTAGAAAGATCTCTTTGTCAGTGGTGCCACATAACACAACCTCATGATCAACAATGCTCTGCTGTATTCCCAGCTTCTCCCACCTCAAGAAAGAGGGAATTGTGCAAGAATGTGGTTTTTGGGGAGCATCTTAAACTCTGCCTACTGCACTTGGGCTGCCCCACTCTCCTCATCTTGACTTCAGCTTCACTACCCCAGCTCTTACCTTATAGATCTCAACTTTGATGTCACTATGCAATAGCAAGAGTAACTTAGTTCTGTTGAGTTGTTTCTAAAATCCACGCACCTGTAGTATTGTGTGTTCTTATCACAACACCCCTGTAGTATTGTGTGTTCTTATCACAATAACCATGTGAAGTAGTTGTTATTTTTATTCTTTGCACTTGGACTTCCCCTACCTAATGCTCTTCCAGATAATCTTCATGCTCATTCTTGCACTCCTTTCTGGCCACCACTCAAATGTTACTGGGGAAAGCCTTCCCCTCCCAAAATAGCTCATAATAGAATGCTACCTAATAAATGCAGATGGAATGATGGGATTTGAAAACTGTCACTTGGTGACCATCTTACTTGTAATTGATTCATGCAAGAATCCTCAGCAAATGTTAAAACTAGTGAGTAAAAGTTTGATGAAGAATGGGATAATTATAGAAGCTCAAAGTACCTGCCCACAAAAGACTCATCCATTATAAAGGAAAAAAATCATGGCTTTCAGATGGTATGACCTGGCAGCCACCACCTTAACTAGATTATCAGAGTGGCCTCCTAACACGAGATGCTGAGATGACACATTACTGCTGCGGGTTCCCTGTCTTTACCAGATGTGTCCAAATTGAAGGATCACTCTACAAAATAACTAGGCTGTTCTCTTCAAAAATGTCAAGACAAAGAGAAGCTGGGCAACTATCCCTGATTAAAGGAGATTAAAGAGCTATGACAACTAAATGGAACATGTGATCTTAGATTGGATCCTGGAGCAGAAAAAGAGCTCTTTTTTTTAATATAAAGGACATTATTGGTACAACTGTTAAAATTTTAATAAGGTCTGCAGAATAGATAATAGTGTTAAGTGAATTTCCTGATTTTGATCATTGTACTGTGGCTGTGTAAAGAAAATGTCCTTGCTCTTGGAAAACACACATTCAAGTATTTAGAGGTAAAGAGGCATTGTATCTGCCCCTTATTGTCCAATGGTTCCAGAAAAGAATAATAGAACATAAAGAATGATGAAGTTAATGTTAGTGACCTAAGAGAAAGGTGTGTTGGAATCTTTACTAGTTTTGCAATGTTTCTGTATATTTGAAATGATTTCAAAACAAAAGTTACCCAAGGAAAAGAACATAGAAGAATAGCTCACCATTTTGCTCTTCATCCTTGACCTGGCTCTGCTTTACTGTGTAGCCTTCATCATCCCTGTGGAGGAGGAGCACACATTTCATTTAACTTTAAAAGCAACCATATGAAGTAGGTACTGTTATTCTTTGCCATTATAGTTCTCCCTGCCTAGAATGCTTTCTCCCCTCACATGTCCACATGTTCCTCCCTCGTGTCTTTCTGGCCTCTGCACAAGTCACAGTCATATCAATGTTCATATTTGCCCTCACTGAACCTCAAACTTCATGAGAACAGAGACTTTGTTTTGTTCACTGTGGATTCTCTTCTCTTTTAATGGCACTTGGCAGATAATAGGTATTCAATGAATGTGTAAATGAACCACCTCCCTATTAGAGAAGAGACTTAGGAAATTGGAAGTTTTAAATCCAGGCTTTGAATTCAGGCAAAGTTTTCCAAGTAATTCTGGGATTATTACTACCTGCTATGTTCCATGGGTTCTGGTTTTCCAAGAAGACCCCTTGCCTTTGTGCCTGCCCTTCCCATGGAGGGTGTGCTGGACCTTATGACTCACCGCTATGGCAAAGTGATGGGATGTTGCCTCCAATGTTGGGTTGGTTCCAGGAAGACTGTGAGTACCATCTTGCTAGTAGATGCTTGCAGGCATGTTTTCTTGTCTTCTATCATGTTGTGAGATGCCCTTTGGGAAGCTACATGTAGCAAGGAACCCTCAGTTAACAGCCTGCAAGGAAATGAATCTTGCCAACAAACTTGTGAGTACTAATTTTGTAAGTGCATCTTCCCCGATTGAACCTCCTGATGAGATCACAGCCCTAGCAGACCCTTGGATTGCAGCCTCTGAGAGACCATAAGCAGAAGACCCAGCTCAGCCAGACCCAAGGTCATGACCCATGAAATTAGGAGATAGTGTTGTGTGAAGTTACTATATATTTTGGAGTAATTTGTAATGCAGCAATAAAAAAACTGATACAGCAACCTTATATGTCTCCACAACTGTGTTCTACTATTGTAGAAATATTTTGTACTATATTTATCTGTATCTTGCACCTTCCTCACCACCCATACTGTAAGGTCTGTGTGGACATGGGCTGTGATTTTGTTTCCATTTTATCTATGCTTCGTAGCACAGTGCCTGTTTCATTGGCAGAGCTCAATAAGTGATTGCCAAAAGTGATGAAGGAGACCTTCATTAAAAATAAATTGTAGTTGGGTTTTAAGGCTCCTGATAATGTTCTTGAATTTGCAAAACTCAGAAGTAGAGCCTGAACTTATGGGCACTTCTCCATGGTTCTGCCCCCAACGAGGTTCCATATGGGTGCCCAGCTAGTCCCCTAGACAGCATCTCTCTCAGCTTCTTTGACATTTTAATTCTTGAAACTAGTAATTGTAACATTAAACCACATGAGAGGACAAAGTGACCTGCCCATCCACCTGTTCTAATTAATATACTTTTAAACCTCCCAAGGAAAACCATTTCTCCTCCTTCCTTTACACCACACAAAGATTTAGCCATAAAATTTCGCCTTAGAGTAATCACATCCTGAATCAATGACTCCTTTTTTGAGTAAAAAAAAAAAGGATCCCTCTAACATGTTCATTTTAATTTTAAAAATGCTGTTTTAAATGGTAGGGAGCCTTTTAATTCTCCACTCTGGGTTATAAAAAAATAATAGATAGGCAGAAATGTGTTATTAAAGCTATTTTTCTTGGCGTTCTGGTAATTTAATAAACTGCTGAAGCTAAGCCTTGAGACTTTATGATGCAGCAAGACGATGACTTGTCTGTTGATTAATAGATTCTGATCATCCCCCTCCCACCCCCCCTGCTTCCTGGGGTGATTCCTGAAGGACAACAGATGATTTCTGGGGAATAAGATTTGGGGAAACATTGTGTAAAAATGTCATCCAAGGAACTTTAATCTCTAGGAACACCTGTATACTCTTCTTTAAGACTAGGGGTGCTGGTGAACTGGTTGGGGTGAGTCTCAGACAATGATTCTTGAGCTGGTCACTGCCATATTTGACAATTTCAGAACATCCTCAAACTTGAAAATTTTTTATGTCAAAAGAATTGGGCATGAATTCTTAGTCTGCTGATCTAAGTCTTATCTTAGTCTGCTTCAACTGCCAAAACAAAATACTATAGAGTGGCTCAAACAAGACATTTATTCTCATAGCTCTGGAGGCTGAGAAGTCCAAGATGAAGGTTCCGGCAAGGTTAAGTTTCATCCTGAGGTCGCTTCCCCTGGATTGTAGGCAGCTGACACCTCAGTGTGTCTGGCCTTTTTTAAGCTCTCACACCTCCTTTCTGTGTAATGTGGAGAGAGAAAGCTCCCCGGTACCTTCTCTTCTCAAGGCACTAACTCTGTCATGAGGCCTCCATCCTCATGACCTCATCTGGCTTTAGTTTCTTCCCAGAGGTCTCCTCTATAAATGGCACCATATTTGGAGAGACGTGATTTTGAGGGAGATGCAAACATTTAGTCTATTAGAGGGGATGTTCCTGCTATTAGACCTTCACTAGTTGACTTCCAGGCCATTGTTTGGTCTGTCACTTAGAATTGGGTTTGCCTGTGTGTGAAAGAAACCCAAAATAACAGTGACTTTTAAGGGGTTAATTTCCTCTCAACGAGGTCCAGAGCTGGTCTGATGCCTCTTCCCTCTACCAACTTCATAATGAAGCCTCAGCTTTCCAGAAATCACACAAAACACATCTGACTGTACTCCAAGTGTCCTGAACTAACTCACATATTCTGAATGATTGTGTGTTGAGCTGGAAAGTAGAATTCTGTTAGCCAGGAAAAAGGGGGGGATGCATATTGGAAGTCAACCGGCAGTTGTTGTCACATAGAGGATTGAGTAACAGAACTGAATACACCTTCCCAATCAATGGGGGGCGTCTTAGGGGAGAAGTCCTGGAGGGGGGAATTGCTCCAGGCAAGCCCCTCATCTGGATGAGCCCCTCTTTTCCCAAGATCTGTTTTCTTCCTGGTCCTCAGCCCCCACCTCCCATGTCTTGTGTCTTTTGGCTTAACACTGGAAAACAACTAAGAGGTCTTAGTTGTCTGAAGTCATTAATCATGTAAGTTTCAACACAGCTCTTTTACGCTGGGCTATGTGACTAGAAACAGGGAATTGGGAAGAAAAGTGTGTAAGAATATTGACTTTGAGTCACCTATCTTGTGACCTTAACTAAGATATTAATCACTCTGAACCTTAGTTTCTGCATATGTAATATTAATATAACTATATAGCTATATGCATACATCTACATATATATGCAACAGGGTTAATACGACCATTACATTGCATAATAAAGATGATCTATGTAGCACTGTGCTTATAAGTGCTCAATGAATAGTAACTGCTCTTATTTTATTAAGTATTTCTAGAACCCACAAAAACATGCTACTCCTCAATTTTGTTGCTTAAACCACATACAGACTATCATTAGTTTTAAGATTTACAAAGCAAGTCGGTCCTGAGGAAGGAAACTGGGTTTTGTGACTTGAAAACCTATCAGATGTTAAGAGCAGACATCACTTCTCTGACACTCTAACTGGGTGGGTGTCCTACTATGTGCTCTCACATATCCTTTTAAAAGCCTCATCTCATTCATAGTAACTTCGATTTAGTATCTAAGCTTAAAAATGCACGGGGACAGGCACTGTGTCTGTCTTCCCCACTGCTTTATCAGGGGAATTAGTTTTAGGGAGCATGTGCTGAGAAAATGGGCAGGAGAGTCGGTGGGAAGGAATCAGGGGAAATCTGGGAGTTTTCAATCCCTCCCAGACTTCATAATCATGAGTCAGGTCAGGTACTTGGGTAACTGTTTCCATTCCTCTCCTATTTCTGGGATTCCCTGAGAGCTGTGCTGAGTCAGTAATGTGTTGGAAAGGCCTTGGGCATGGGTAGCAGCTTTCCCTTAACGAAGCTTCCTCCTGAAAAATTTCTTAGGGAAACAGTTCAGAAAGGCTTCTGAGAATCAGTGTCAGACATCTGGGATGGGGGTCTGGGCAGTGGGCTCTTTCTGTGTTGGTGGCAGAGTGATTGTGTGTGTGTGCGTGCGTGTGTGTGTTTATCTTTCACTGAGACTCCAGACACATACGTGGCTTAAAAGGCAAACACTGCTAAAGACTCATAAGCAAGGCAGGATTCCTGCCTCCCTTACAAATCCATCCTCTCCTCATAGAACCTCCTTCAACTCTCTTGACACTTTATTCTGGGATTTACCTCCAGATTTCTAGGTAATTATGGGAATTCCACTATCTCTCGAATCATCCATTTTAGATACTACCTACTGACTTTATGATGATAAATGAGAATTTGGGCTCCATTCACACCCCTCTTTTCACCTCCATCCTCCCACAGCAGTTATAACACAGTTTTGCTTAAATCCATATTTGTACTTTTCCTTATTATGGCCATGTAAATATTTTTCACTGAATAGTCAGTCCCAATTATTTCACTGCTCTATGGGAATTTATAGCTAAATTGCCCCACCCCCTCCAAAGAAGAATCTACCATGTCCTTTTTCTACAGTCCCCCGGACCCCTCTGACACACCCCCTCACTGGAGGGCTCCACCTCCCTGCTTCAGCCTGGACTGGAGGTGGTGATTTTCCAGCTCGCCTTTAGGGTTCTGGAGCTGGGACCTTCCTTTTTCATCTCCTGGGGAATCTCTTCAACCTCTTTCCCACTGAGGGTCCTTGGAGGCCTTTTTCCTGGACTCCATGTCTTCTGTCTCAGTGTACCCCACTTTTTTAGTGGGGTACATCCTTCCTTTGTTTCCTGACAGGTACGAAAAGATCAATTTTTTGCAACGTTGCACCTCAGAAAACATCTTCATTCCACCTTCACAGTTTGATAATAGAATTCTAGGTTGTAAATCATCTCCACTCAAAGTTATAACTGCTGTGCCCCAGGATTTTCTGGGTTCCCATGGCACTGCTGAGAAATCAGATACCATTTATGAGTCTTGAACATTTGTGAGTGAGCGGGATTTTCTGAAAAGGTTTTAAAATCTTGCCTTTATCCCTAACAGTGTGAAATTCCACAGTGATGTACCTCAATGTACATCTTTTTCATTCATTTTGGTGAGCACTTGTCTGGGGCGTCAATCTGGGAATTTTTCTCGTGTTTTTTCATCTTCATTGCTGTTAATAGTTCTATTTTCACTGTTCTGGCTAGGTTAGGCAGTTATTCATTTCCTGGATTGATCTTATTTTCTTGATTTTTATCTCCTATAACCCATCCTTGTATTTTTTAAATTTTCTTTTCCATGCTCTCTCTGATGTTAGCTTCCAACCCTTTCCACTGAAAAAAATTAAATCAGCAATCGCTGTTTTAATTTCAAAAGCACTTTCTAGTTCTGGTTTTAAAAATAAGCACACGGCATGTTGTCTTATTTTTAAAATGTACTGTCTTATCTCTGAGAATATTATAGTCTCTCGTTTCTTAGTTCCTGTTTACCTTTGTTCTGATCTGTTTCTTTCTTGTTAGAGAGTATCCATGTTTATTGAGCATCAGTCATGTCCTTAAAAGTTGATTAAAAGCTCTTCATAAAAGGGCAAAATCAGGGCCTCCCTAGTGGTGCAGGTGGTTGCGTGCAGCGCTGTGAAGCTGTCTGCAGCCTCTGCAGTGCAGGTTCTATCCAGGCTGGCCAGGGAGATACCCACATGGCACAGCAGACCTCTCCTGACTCACCCACTGCTCCCCTCAGCAGTGTATTTCGTCAGTCTGCCTGTTCTGCTCCCTGCTCTGTCTCTGGTGGATTCTCTCACCCTCCCACACATCTGGCCTTGTATCCATGAATAAATAAATCTTAAAAAAAAAAAAAGGGCAAAATCAGAGGGCAATTTTCACAGATATTTCCAAGTGCCTTTGGGAAAGTTCATTTTCTCCAAAGAACCCTCCAAACTCCTATCTCTTGGCTAAAACCTAGCTGCCTATGGATATATATGCATATTTTACTTAATGCCCATTTTTAATCTGGACCCACATCTCCATAATCCTTATGCCCAGTGTGTGGTTTTCTCCAGAGAAAACATCTCTCTCTACTAGAACAATCTGTGGCCCCATTTTTGTGGGGCCAGGATAAGAGCTACCCCTTACATCAACCATCTCTCTCCAGCCCCACCTTCCATGGTATCCAGCACCTGGAACCTCCTGAACCTCAGGGCCCTGCAGGAGTAAATGGTTTGCTTCTTGGTGATGAATCTCCTGCATACATCCCCTATTTCAACATGATGATCCCCTACTCTGCTAAGGCATTTACCACTCCTCTATTCTATGGATGCCTTTGTCGATAGTGGGTGATATGGATGGTTTCCCCTAGTTTCATCAATAATGGGGATTCTATAGGTTTTCTTGTCCTCCTTGTTATTTGGGGGTAAACTTCAAAAGAAGAGGTACAGAAACATATCTCTACTCAAGCATCTTAAAACCACAAGTCTACATTAAGCAAACATTAAATCTATATTGAGGCTACACTATCTTTTAATCCTCACAACTATTAACAATGCATTAATAGAACTGAGGTCCAGAGAGGTTAATTTCTCTGCCCAGAGTCAGAGATGGAAAGTGGCTAAGAACCCAACTCTGCACAGGGCAAATGGCGCTTTCTCCTACTTTCGCTTTCCTCCGAACACGCTGAGATGAGAGGGTGGCAAATTATAGCGCAGTCTGGGTTGATAACTGGAAGTACAATGCGAGGAAGCCCTTTGGGGATGTAAAGGTCCCGGCATTTGTGAAAACTTCAAGTGAAGGGGGCACTTCTTTTATGCCCATTCCTGAGATAGATAAACTGGGATATTGAGAAATTAGTAGATCACAGAAGAGAAGAGATGATCCCTTGAGTTTATCATCCCTGGGGTCCCCTCTTCATACAGCAGCATTTCTAGGACTCCAGCTTGTAGTCTCCTTCACGTCCTGTCTAAACATTGAGACTCAAATGAGCAGTAAAGATTACACAGAGCAGAACCAACACAAAGAGGCACACTTCATTTCAAGCAGCTCATACTTTTATCATAAAATACAAACTTTCTAAAATTAAGTCTTACTTCTATTTTACCAACAACAACAAAAACAAAAATCACTCATGTTAGCTAAATACAGGTGCATATGTGGTTGAGCAAGTAAGTATGACTATGAGGGGTGTGTGTGTGCAGTTTGGGGTATGTGTGTGCATGTGTGTGTGTGTGTATGTGCGAGTGTTGGTCAACAGCTGAGTCTGGTCTTGCTGTTTTCTGTCTGTGACCTGGTGGGAACCTTGGCTTTCCAAACTTCCTACCAAGCCGTTGCAGAATCCAGAATTCCAGAGCCCTTAGCCCTGCTCTAAGGGCTAAGGTAGGAGGGAGAAGTGAAGGAGATCTAAAAATTTATGCCATTCCCACTAGAGGAAAAATAGGGGCTGTTCATCAGGGGTCCACCAGACGTCGAGCCGAACCTGGAAGAGAAAGAAGATGGACGTCATGATGAAATTTTTGATGTTAGAGGAGATATTAGAAAAAAATTTATATTAATTTTGTGGCTGTCAAAGACTCTGAAGATCATGACAGGCTTGGAGGCTAAAAGCGTTCGTGTAGGAATAAAAAAATGGTTTGGCTCTTGAAAAACAAACTATTAAATTGGTACAAGTGGAAAACAAAATAGAGCTTATTTGGCCACTTACTTACCTGGTCCTGCCCATGACCACATAGCAGGGAACCTCTCGGGATATCTCAGCATCTTCCTGTGGGACTGTGGCCATTCTCCTGCCTTAGAGGACCGGGTGTGTCCCTCAGGAAATTCAGACCACACTTGAGAACTCAGGGCCACCTCCCATGGTGAGATCTGACTCCAGACAATTCCAAGACTCCTTCCCTGCGTATTGGCACCAGCTAACTCAGCTAACCTCCATGTCAACATCTGTCCCAGAAATGAGGCCTGAGGCCTCATGGAGTGCCTGGGACTTTGCTAGACTCCTGGGAAGGAAGTACCAACATTGGAGAGTCACCTTCAAAGGTGGAAATACTACTGCCTTTTTCTCCCTGGAACACTCCTAGTCATACTTCAAATTAGAACTCACAAGCCATCTCCTCAGTGAAGCCTGCCCAACCTCTCCAGAAGGAATCATTTACTCACACTTCTGGGATCCTACTGCAATTTTGTCACCTGTCTGCCAAAATACTTTGAATGAATGGGAACAGAGATCAATATAAATTGCAGCAAATGGCTAGATTTAGTCTAATCCAGGGATTCTCAGTCACTTTTCCGGGCAGATGCATATTACACAAGATATTTACATTCATGTCACTCTCCCATGGATTGATGAAACCAAAGAGGGGGTGGGGGAGGGAGAAGCACTGGGAAACAAGTAGCATTAATTCATAATGCTTCAGCTGGTTATCAGTATCTGTCACTGTGAGTCCGCAGACAGCTGGATTTTGGGTTACGTTTGACTCCTTTCTCACTGAAATCAATTCCATGAAAGCAGGCACATGTATCTGGGCTGTTCACCATTTTATACCTGGCATCCGGTCCAGGGCTTGACACAAGGTAGGTGCCTGATTAGCAATTATGCTGCTGGTAACCCATCTCTTTTTCTCTTTTTCAAAAATCATATTGGAAAAGAAATGATTGAAAGTGATACTATTATAGGACTACCCTAGAGTCCACTCTGATTTACAAAGCAAAGGCAGCGATTCATACTTCAGCATTTAATAATTGTTGGTTACAAATGAGCAGCAACACCTCTCAGGTCTGGTCGTCACGCCCCATGCATTTAGGCCCTGCAGGTTGAGAACCTCTGATTGACTCGACTGCTAAGGGCAGGGTCTAAAGAGGACACACACTAGAAGATCAAGAAAAGGGCTAATCTATGTGGGCTGGAGTTGTCAGGGAAGGCTTCCTGGAGGAGGAGGAGGAGGAGGCCGAATGCCTCTTGAACTTGATGAAGTTTCCTTACTGGCATTTCCATTGTAAATATCTGTGTGCTCTTAATTCTCCAACATTGTTTGGAAGATGACGTGTACGGTTATCCCATCCTGATGAATGTATGCAGACTGACTCGGCAGAGGCAGGGGAGGGCTCCCCTGTGCCTTCCCTGTGAACTCACAAGTTAACTGCTCCTTCCTCGCCCAGTTCATGTAGTTTAGTCTCTTGGTTCTCCCCTTGCTCCTGATCCAGATCCGGAGGAAGTGCCGACTCTCCTAGTCCAAACCAAACGCCATCACTGAAGCCCATGTCCCCTTCCCTGCCCAGCCCAGCCCACCGTCTCCTAGGCCTGTTGCATGCAGCACCCTGATTGGATCAACTGCTATCCCTGGAAGCCCCCAAAGATCCCGTCGATGCCTCGATGCTCACTGCTCCCTCCATTTTATCCTACAGTGCCTGGGCCTGCTTTTCATCAGCCCGTGATCCCTTCTTTTCTCCTCCAGGAAACACTGTCTTCACTTGGCTTTCCGCACTCCGCACTTTCTCGTTTGCCCTCCCACCTCTCTCATACTCCCACTCAGTGCCTTTGCAGGCTCCTCTATCACCCCAAGCTCTCCACGTGCTGGGGGTCCAGAATTCAGTCCTCGGGTCTCCTCTCTATGGACTTGCATCCCTGGGCCTTTGCATCCCACCCCATACCTCTGAACATAATCTAAATGCTAATGGCGCCCAAATAGTACCAATCCCAACACCCTCTCCTGAGCCCCAGGCTTGTATATCCACCTGCCAATCAACACCTCGCTCATGTGACTGGCAGGCATCTCAAGCTTTCCAGAGCCAAACGCTTGATTGCGAGATCCCTGCTCCAGTCATCCTGACCTGAGTGCTCTGGCATTTCCACTCATCCAGCAGCGCAAGTCGAAATCCTAGGAATCATGTTCGAGTCTTCTCTTCTCCTCATTCTACATCCAACCACCATCACGTCCTGTCAATTCTACCAAGAAAATAAACACTCCAGGTCTGCCCACGCCTTTCCCATGGGCACTGCTCTCCATTTACACCACCCAACCCTCTTGCTTGGACCAGAATACAGGCACGTAACCTGCTTCCCTGCCCAGCCCCGCCCCTCGTGCCCTCCTCAGGCACTGGTTGACAGTCATCTTCTCCTGAAAAAGGGTTAGACTTGCCCTCACCAGTTTAAAGCCTTGACGACTTCCCACTTCTCTGAAAAGAAAATCCCTTACCTGACCATGCCTCCCAGGCCCCGTCTAGTCTGGCCCTGCCACCTCTCTGATTTCGATTTTGCCACCCTCTCTCCCCTACTCATTATACTGCAACTACATTTCCCATATTGGGGCCTTTGCACCTTCTAATCCTGATGCCTGGAGCATTCACCACCACGCACCACCACGGGCACACATGCGTGGCCCACGCTCTTGCTTCAAGAGAAGTTCTTTCATTCTCTTTCTCTCACCCCCAGCACTTGACATGAACGCTGCTTGTTCATTTCCTTCTTGTCTATTTCCCCCATCCCCCGACCATGAGGGCAGGAAAACTTTGTTCACTCCAGCATCCACAGTGCCTACAACAGTGCTAGGCACACAGAAGGTGCTCAATGGTACTGTTAGAACGAGCAAAGCGCTCTTTGCGGGGACGCGAGTCTGCACCCTTTGCCTGACTTTTCAGACTCATGTTCTTGGTCTTCTCAACCTCCCAGGCCTCCATTCCACCCTGCTGACCCCCAGCAATGGCCACCACTCTCCTCCTCTGCCCACCATTGTCTCCCCCGGCCCCGGGCTCTCTCCCACTTCTAAGTCTGCCCTTCCCTCTGTCTCCCGCTCATTTCTTCTCTCTGCTCCTTTGTGGACAGCAGAGACCACATCTCAACTCTCTGCTCTTGCTGGTCACGATCAGGGCCTCCCAGCGGCTGTCTTATGAGACCCTGGACCTCGCATGCTCCCAAGTTCACCAGTTCCAGCTTCTGCAGAAAGTCTCTCTACCCTGAGCTCCAGGTCGCAGCACAGAAGGGGGAAGCTTATAGTGTCATCTCCAAGGAGGTGAGCACCTCTCACGCCGCAGTCACCTCCAGTCTGCACCCTCATGTGCCTCCTGTTTCCTCCCCTCCCACCCACCAGTTCACTCTGAAGTGCACAGATCTGCATTGGATCCCCAGGTCTAGCCATCAGAGCCTTTCATAATCCAACCCCAACCTCCCTTTTCCAATCTTATTTTCTACCTTTCTCAGGAACAAATTTAATACCTTAACTAGATGCTTTCATTCTCCAGGCTTGGAGCTTGCCACGTGCCGTCCCATCGGGGCCTTCCTCCAACTGCCTGGAACACACTCATCTAACTGCTAATCCTCCCTGTCCAGAGACCCTCACTGTCCACCCAGCAGGGCACCTCCCTCCCACTTGGATGGTCTTGGGTGGACTTCACAATGCCCCCTTCTCACCCACGCTCTCAAGAGGAAAGATCATGTCCTCCTATTGATTTCTGGGTCTCCTATTGATTTCTGCAGCCTGCTACAGGTGTGCTGGGTGGAACACATGTGATGTGCCGTGCAAGGTGAGGGAAGGAAGGGAGGAGGAAGAGAGGAAGGATGGGAGAGAGGAAGGAAAGGAGAGGGCAGGGTGGGGAGGAAAAAGAGGGATAAAAGGGGGGTTGTGGGTTTCATGTTCCAATAAGTATCGACCACCCTCTTGAACATTCTCTATGCACAACAGAAAATTAAATGATCTGAAAATCTAAGAAATCTGCTTATCTTTGTTTCCCAAACAGATCTGAGTAGGGAAATCCCTTTCTAGCAAGCATTCTCTTAAGCGGGGGCTCAGGGGACACCCCGATTGAAGAGCGGGAGTAGGGATGGCTGCTGACACTGCAGGGAAGGGTGTCTTCGAGCGGGGGCAGGGAGGAATCCGTGTTGGCTTGGGGAGCCTTCCTCCAATCCCATAAGCTGAGTTTCTCAAGCTGGGGCACACGGCCCCCCAGGTCTGGTTCTCAGGACTGACATGGCCCCTGCCTCTGGGAGCATCAATATCCCTTGAAGATGGGAGGCGGGGAATGAACAGGTATGTGTTGTTCCGTTAGCAGAACACACACGTATCTGACTGACCGGCATGAAATACGTGCATGAAGTTGCAACTAAAATGTTGAGTTTGTCTTGGTTACTTGCTGCTAAGACCCTCTCCTTTGCTGTTTGGGGCACTTCGGTGGAAAAATATGAACAGCCCTGAATAAGCAGTGGCAGACCTTCAACAGAGTCACCGTGGCCTCGACGGGGTTTTCAGGAACATTCGCCTGGCCAGGGCCGGGGAGAGTAAGTGGAGGGCACGCCGGGAGATGACCTGGCCATGCCCCGCTGTAAACAAGGGGTAGGTGAAGGCGGCGCCACCACCTGCCCGTCCGCTGCCTCCTGACAGGGTGTGGTCACACCCCTGCAACCAGGCTGCAGAGCTGCCGTCCCAAGTCCCAGACCCCAGATCCCACTCAGCGCCCCAGCAGATGGTCCAGGAGCCACACAGCCACCAGACACAGGCTCCGATCCTCCCCTGCCCACAGCCATGGAACACAGCCATGGAACACCCAGAAACCTAACACGCTCGCCTCCCGTCTCCAGCAGCACTCTGGGCACAAGCCGCCCTCCAGGGTGGGCTCAGGACTTACCCATACACCTGGGGGAAGAGGTACTGCGGCCCATCTCCTGCCATGGGTGAAGGATCTCGGGGATTGGCGGACAGCTTTGGAGGTGTCCTCTGGGGGTACGGATAGTTGGGCTGGACGAAGGGGACGTAGCTCAGCAGGGGGGTGTAGGAAGAGCGGAAAATCTGCTGTCCCATCTGCTGTGGGCTGTACGGTGTCACCTGTGGTTCAGAGAGGAGAGAAGGGTGAGGCCCAGCAGAGCCCACTGCTTCCAGACCTCACAGTTCCCTCATCTGACACTGACCCCATCCCCATACCACAGCCCCCAGCCCCGGTCACCGTGAGTTACCTAGGAGCCGTACACTGGGATGGAAAAAGCTCAACCTGGTTCCGTGACACTGGCATGTTACTTGATTCATCTGAGCCTCAGTTTCCTCCTCTATTAAAATGGGCAAACAGGGCCTCCCTGGTGGCTCAAGGGGTTAAGATGCAACCTATGAAGCTATCCACAGCCATTGCAGCACGAGTTCAATCCCTGGCCAGGGAGCAACCCACATGGCATGGCAGACCTCTCCTGCCTCGCCTGCTGCTCCCCTCAGCAGTGTATTTCAGTCGGTCTGCCTGTTCTGCTCCCCACTCTGTCTCTGGTGAATCCTCTCACCCCCCCACACTGCTGGCCTATACCCCAGGTCTTGTATGCATAAATAAATAATTTTTTAAATAAATAAATAAAATGGGCAAACACTATATCCATCGTATGGGATTGAGTCCGCTGATATAAGAGACTGTGCACTCTACATGTTATTTCCATTATTTTCCTCGTCTCCCTACCCTCTCTCTGTGAATAACCATCCCCAAAGTCTCTTATTCATAAGTCTTTGACTATGAAACATTGTTGATATTTACATATCCCTGGCTTCTCTCCTAGAATTGCAACTGATTCTGAGGCCAAGACGGCTCTGCCCAGTGGAGCTTCCTGGCACGAGTGGTGGGAATGTTCCGGCGGCACTGCCCAGAGTTAGCCACCGGCCACTCAGCTAATGTGAGTGAGAAACTGAATTTTTAATTTTATTTACTTTAGATGATTTAAATTTAAATAGTCATGTATGACTGGTGGCTGTGGTGTTGGGCAGACTAGGAGAAAGGACACAAAGGGCAATGAGATTCAGCTCAAATCTAGAGAAATACAGGAACCCAGCAGGATTTCTGGGCCAGACACCCATCAAAAACTCCCAGCTCTTGCCCCTGACAAGGCAGGACCCATCTGTCTTCCTGATGTAGCCTCAGCCCCACGGCAGAGCCTGACACACAGTAGCTGCTCGATAGACACAGGTTCAATGAATGAATTCAAGACAGAACGAGGGGGGAAGAGCGAGGGGGCAGGTCAGGGGTGAGGACTAAAGCTGCTACATTGGAAGCACCATATTCTATTGCTGATGTCATACAATCTTCTCTCTTTGGGGCTGACTTCCACAGTCAGCCACAGTGCGCCGAGGGGAGTTTCAGCCACAACCGGACAACCTCCGGGATTTCCACTTTAACAGCAAGAGTCTGGGGCCCAAGCTGCCAAGGGATTCAGCCACTGACAGCCCCCCTCACCCTGCATCTCCTGATATACTGAAAAAGGCGCAAGCCTGACACTTTCTGAGCATGAGGGTGTGCTGGGTCTTTCACATGGGTCCCTACCATAAGCCCCGAACAGTCCTGGGAAGCAGGTCCATTACTCTCCCCACTTCAGAGATGAGAAAACAGACCCGGCGAGAATCAAGGTGACTTGCTTACTAAATCCTCAAGTGCCTGAGTCATGATCAGAACCCAGCAGGCCGAGCCCAGGCCACGCGCGCCCCCTCGAAGCCTGGGCCCTTCGCTGGACATGCTGAACCTAGTGATGCTACACAGGGGCACCAAAGCCCCAGGTGACAAGCCAAAGGTCAGAAAGCCCCAAGAGCTGGCAGAGAGAACCCAGGAAGGCACCTCCTAGGACAGACACCCAAGGGTGAGGACAGCAGAAGATGCCCCCAGTTTTCACAGTGGGGGAAGGGGGTACAACCTGAGCGGAGACCGACACAAAAGAGAAGAGGCAGGACCTACAACTTACACACGCTTTATTCAAAAATGTGTGTCTAACTACACACAATCAATAAAAACCATAAAATACAACTTTGTGCACGTTGTGGAACCATTTCCAAGAGATACCCTCTGCTGACAAAAGCAGCGACAGAACAGGGAGCCCCGAATGCCGCATCTGAATAAAAACCTTTATATAGCTATCACTGGAAGCTGCCTAAGAAATCAGTTGACGATGATGGCCTCAAAGATTTTAAAATTCTGTCCCATATTCTTATATTACTTTTTAAAATATATGCACATACATAACTGTCTAAACGTGCTCTTGGGAGCCAGGTAGCGCTCACAGGTGGAAGTGACGTGGCTGGGTTTGTGGGGGCTGCGGGGGCTGTGTTTCCACTTGATGCCAAGCTCCTGCTGCTGTCCTGACCCAGGTGACAGACTGTCCTGCGGGTATGGGTGCTGCCCTGCCCTCTGGAACATTCTAACACATGGCAGATCAGAGGTGCAGTTTGCAGAGGGAGAGTGGGGGCTTCCCGGGGAGAGAAGAGAGGTGCAGGGGCCTGAGTTCCAGGTTGGGTGTCTGTGTACCTCAAAGCCAGCCTGACAATGGAGCAGGCGCTCAGCTCTGCTCCTCACACCCCATCCCTGCGCCGAGACACTCTGTCTCTGCCTCTGCTCCCCTGCCTTTGGTGCCTGACTGGCCTGTGTCTTTGCTCATGTCTGAACATCTGCGCTGCCTTATTTCAACACTGTTTTTGTGTGTCTCTCTATAAGAGGCAGTGGGACTTGGCGGCTGGGAGCACAGACCCTGAGGCCAGGCTGCCCAAGGCCAAACCCCAGTTCTGCTGTTACGTGACTGTCCAGCAGATATCAATATGTCCCTTCAACCTACCCAGAGACCTAGCAAACAAAACTCTGGGACAGCCAGTTGAATTTCAGGTAAAAAGCAAATACTTGTTCCATACAATATTTGGCACATAATTGCACTAAAAAAATTATTCAACATTTATCTGGAATTCAAAGGTAACTGGATGTTCTGTATTTTATCTGGCAAACCAACAAGGAAGGGACGTGACTCCGGGCCTGGTGAAAGGGGGCTGCTATGGACTAGCCCTGACCGATGGAAGGTGGGCTCACCCTGCACCAGCTCAGAGGCTTTGGGGCTTCTTCTCATCCCTCCCTCTCCAGACCTCGAAATAAAATAGGTGGAACAGAACAGAACCCAATCCACTGCCCAGCTCAGTCAGCCTACAGAACCTATGGGTGAAGGAAAAGTAAGTATTCATTGTCGAAAGTCTCTGAGATTTTGAGGCTCTTTGCTGCTACTGCAAAAGCTAAGTTGTAGGTCAACTCTATGACCTTGGACTAGATATTGAATCCCTCTGCCTCAGTTTCTTCATCTCATAACCTGCTCATATAGGAGAATTGTGGTGGTTAAATTAGTTCCCGTAGGCTCAGCCCTGAGAGATCGGGCCCAGCACACAGTAGGGGCTCTGCGTGATCATCGTAGAGGGAACAGGTTTGTATCACCCCATGCAAGTCAGTATCTGTGTCTGCTCTGGCACATGGCCAACTGGAGAGGATGGGTGGTAACCACTGGACAGACAGGGCAGCAGATGCCCTGACCCGACAGCCTCTGTGGACTTGGGCCAGAGGAGGAAAAGCGGTTTACTCACCTGTCGGGAGTAGCACCCCAGCTGGGGGTGCAGGGCCTGCTGATAAGGCATCCTGGCCGCCCGCTGAGGGTACAGGCCCTGGGGAGAGAAGGCAGAGTTCAGTGCCCAGCAGAAGACTCTCAAGAGCACAGCCGCTCAGCTCAGTTTCCAGCCTGGACCTCCAGATGTGGCTTAGTGTCCCACCACAGTGCTGACCAGGCCCGCCAGCCTCCCGGCCAGCAGCACCCACACTGAGCAAGCACATCCCACACCTCAGGAAGGCCCCATGGAGCAGCATTCACAGCCTCTTCGGTGATTATCTAAGAGCTTCTGGAGCCGGGCTCGCTCTGAGTCCCAGACCTGCCCCTTAGGGCTGTGTGAACTTGGGCAAGTGACCTGGCCTTGGGGAGCCTCTTTTGCCTTGTCTGTACAGTCATGTGTGCCCAAACGGGAACATTGAAAGGTTGGCCATGTTATCTTTGTTGCTCTCTGCACCCCTTTGTAAGCCCTTTTCCCTAACCCCATTCCTGCTCAAGACATGGCGTGTCCCGGTGTGTCTGTGTGTGCTGAGGTGAGTTTGTGTCAGACTTATGCAAGCACACCAGCACGCATGCCCCCACTGTCTCCCGCCCTCCCATTAGCACTTAGCTCTGCCTGCCACAGCCAGCCCCCCAGGCTGCCACCCTCCCCACCACAGCGGGGCCAGCTACAGGCTTTTCAGGAGACAGTGTCATTACCATGATGAGCGACACAGTATGACTTGAAGGGCATTTCTAGTTGTTTGAACTGTAATTCTTCAAAATCACAAGCAAGGGTAAATAAATATTCAGGCTTCCTTGCAGGAGGCCCTGCGCTTCTCCCCCTCATACTTTCTCCTTATTGGGGGCAGAGTTTCCATGTGGTATGTAGCCCAGGGGCCTCTGGGCTCCTCGGTGCTAGGACTTAGTCCTCTGCCCTCTGTCTCGCTTCACAGCGGCCCTCTAAGTAAACTAGATTTGGGATCATATCTTTATTCCTAACACCAAGCAGGAAAAGAAATGAGGAAAGGCTGCTCCCCACTTCTCTCTGTCCCCTATAGATCTGCAGAGCCCTCTGACCCTGGTTCCTAGAAAATCTGGCTGAAAAATAATAAAAACCAACATCTCTATCATATTTCATGTTTTACAAAACCCTTTTCCATGGACTCAACTAACTTTATCCATGGACTCAACTAACTTTATAACTGTATCAAGAATAACCTGCCGCTACAATCATTATGAATGTGGTTCATGAGTGAGGAAACCAGAGCTCAGAGCATTTAGCTAACTTGCCCACAGCAAGTGGAGTTCCCTTAAACCCAAGTCCACTGGTCCCCAACCCTGCTTCCTTCTATTATGTCAGCCATCTTGCAGCTGGGTGACATTATGAGATCATGGGGGGCTGGGAGAAAGTAAATTACCCCAACTCACCTTCTCCTGCTAGGGTGGGCTTCAGCAGGGGCCAGTCAGCACCTAAATTGTCCCCATAGGACCCATGGGCCCTACCAGCCAAGACCCTCAATCACATCTGCCCAGAGGCTAGAGAACCTTGGAATCAGCCCAGCATCTCTGACCACAAAGGGCTTGTGTGCTCAGAAAATAGGTTCAAATCTCCCCCGCTCCCAAGAAATTAACATAGCAAGTTAACATCCCAGGTGGAGTTACACGCTGAGCCCTGACAGTGCAGTGTAGAGTGACTTGATTCACACTAATGCAACATTGTGGCCTTTCCAAGGTGGGGTGCACAGAGTGGAGGTGTGGGATTTGTCCTCACAGACCTGGACTCCAGGCTTCTCGGTCATCTCTGGACCCCTCCCTAGCCCAATGCCTGGCCTGCCGTCAGTGAAAAGCAAAAGTTTTTTAAATAGCTTGAATGAATGAATTGATAAATAAACAAAAATGACTAAATCCATGAGTAAGTGAATAAACGGCCGAACTGTGAATGAGCCAACACAAAAAGGCAAGGATAGAAGAACACGGGTGACTGAGCTGGCGAGTCCACGAGCGGGCATTTCTCTCGAGACCTGGGTAGAGACGATCATGACAGGTGTGGAACTTGGTGAGGGGTTTAACTTCCCTTGGATCAGGCTTCACGATACCCTCTCACCTCAGCAGTGAAACCTTCTACCTGGGTAAGGAGAGGGTGGGCTCCTGTGCTTTTTAACAGTGGGAAAAAAAAAAAAAAACACCTTGAAAGTAAAACAGCAGATAACTAAAGGAGAGGCTTTGCTGCACTCCTTTGGCTCTCATTTAAGATTCCGGGGGTCAACCTGGTGGACCAGCTCAGAGATGCTTTTTCTGGAGTGGAGAAGACCCATCTTCCACCTTCCGCATGAACACCCAAGCAGGAAGGTGGTGGGTGATGCTGTACAGAGGACATGACACGGGGACCCCAGGGGCATGAGACGGGACAAGGAGTCCTCGAGTTCCCTTTCCAGGCACCGCTGGGACAGACCAGTGGGGCACATTCCCAGGGACCTGGAGCCACATTTGCTTGTCTTCCCATCCCCCCCCCCCCCCCACTGCTCTGGAGAGGAGCTGGGGAGGAGACAGAGACAAAAATCCGAGATGCTGAGCCCCTTTCCTGGAGAAACTGAGCGCAACCCAAAGGGACAGTTTATGCTACTGGATTGGACTGAAGTTTAAACCAAAGTGGACATTTATTTGATTTCTTCCTCCTTCTACCCAGTGGGCCACAGCTCTTAAGGGATATTAAGTTAAATAGACAAACCAAGGAAACTATATTTTCCCTGCAAAAATAAATTCTGTGATAAAATTTCCAGCCCCGCTACAAGTTTCACCATCCCTTGTGTCTGGCTACCAGGTACCGTTTAGCTATAAGACAAAGGCCAAGAATGCCCTTCATTATGTTGGGACAAAAGACTTAAACTGGGACAGTCCAACTACTCTAGACACGTCATCTAACTACAGTGGAAGTCATGGGAGGAGGGCAGGAAACAAGGACTACGTGGCACCCTATTCTGGTGCTAACTTGCAAAGCAGCTCTGGAATACACAGCCCAGAGCGGACTGGAATTCAGGCCATGGAAAGCCAGAAGCGTACATGCATGTGCCTGTGTGCGCATGTGCACGCGTGCATAGACCAAGTAGTTAGTCTGATGTTCTAAAGCCTCTGCAAGTCAATGCCCCTCGGGCCGGAGCCTGCAGGGATGACCTCCTGGAGAGCTGAGACCCCTCGCTCACCTGGTACTGTGGGAAGGTGGAGTGATTTGTGAACACCGGCGGAGGCGGGTAGTTGAGATTAAGCCAGAGTGGCTGGTTCAGGGTTGCTGAGGTCAAGGTGGTAGCAAAGCGTGGTGTGAAAACATTCCCTGTGTACTTGAGGTTGTTCTTGTCGGCCATGGTCGCAGGTGGGTTCACTGTAAGTCACAGGAGAGGGGTACACTGATTGCATGAGGGAAGGAGGGAAAGGCTAGAGCTCCAGCACCATCACTGCCCTTGGGAACAATGTTCTTAGCGGTTGGGTCCTCTAAGCCCTCAAAGCGTTCTTCAAAGTTGGGGTGAATTTCTGATTGCTGGAAAACATCAGTAGTTCACACCTTGCCAATTCAGAAGGGGTGAAAAATTCCAGTACAGTCTGGCCTGCAGCTTCTGTCTCCATCATCCACTAGGAAGGAGGTGGTTTAGCAAAAGAATACAGTAAACCAGGCTGCTAGGGCTATGTTTTATCTATGTATAAGACCAAGTTCCTTTAAGAGCTTCAGAAAATAGGCAGTTTTAGACAAACAATGCAATTCATTCTTATTGAATTATTAAAGCAACCCCCTGAGGACATATTTTCGGCCACACTGAGGACCTTGTGTGGGTTGTCTTATCTATATTGAAATCATTTTTTAAGGAAAATATTTAAAACATGATATAATTGAGTATGACATGAACTAAAATTAGTGTGAAGGCATAAGACTTGGCTGAGCTGTTTCCTATATGAATACTGGGTTCTCTCCCTCTGCAATATGTCCTGCTGGCTTATAGAGTTCAACATGGAGGCTCAGTTTCCCCTTTGGGGGATCTTTTTGAAGGGAGGGTTTGACTGAAATAGTTGTAGGAGGACAAGAGAGAAAACAGAGAGACATGATAGTCTCAATGTAGAAATAATCCAAGGCATGGATTCCTCTTTGGCCTGAGCTACTTGAGGTTATCCGGTGAAGGCAGGTCAAGTAGACCCCTAAGAGTGCCCAAGTGACCCTTGACAAGCCACCCTAGTAAGGGACATAGGGAGAAGGTCACTCCCTCCATTCTAAGGTTTTAAAAAATAACACGCAGAAAAAGACTGATTTTCTCACGCCCAGGACAGCTATTTGATGGCAAAGCACCTCCCAGGGGGCTCAAGAGGGTTTCTGGAGCCCCTTCCCCTGCAGACTCTTCATGGCCAGGGTCAGCTTACGTTTCAGCTCCAGCCCATCCATCTCCATTTTGCTGCGAAGCCTCAGCTGTCCGCCTGGGTTCTTGGTGGCCCCGAGGAACTCATAGAGCAGGTTCTTCTCAGCAGGCCATGGAGGCTTCTTGGCTTGCAGGGCCACGGACATGGAACCCAGCGGGTCGCTGCAACCCTCCTCACCACAAGTGTCCTTCCGGCTCTGGGGCCACTGACTGGGAAGGAGGCTCTCTCGACCTTTGGTTGGCTCCTTGATGCCAGGGTTTCGCTCTACAGGAGGGAAACTGAGTCAATGACCCTCAAAGGCCAGATGCTGGACATGGGGAACACCTTGTGGACTGAGTGACAGATCCTCCATAGCACACTCCCAAGGCTCAGACCACTCGGGGGACTCTCCCAGGCCCCCCTCACTGAAGTCTTCACTGACTGCTGCCCATGCTGGCTGTCCCCCTCATCCTTCCATTGTCTAGCCACACGCCCATGCCTGCCTCCCTCCCTCCCTCCCTGACCCCCTGCCTCTCTCCCTTCCTTTTTCCCATCCTCCCTCCCTCCCTTCCATCTGCAACAGGGTACAAAGCTGGCTGGAGCACTGTTCTTGCCTTTGAGGAGCACTGGGCTTAATGAAGAGCTACGCGTGCCCACAGAACATGCGCTCTGAGTGGCATGTGGACTGCCATCGTGGACTCCACCCTGCTTCACTCCTCTCAGGCGACTCACCGCCTCGTCAGAGCCAGGCCCTGACCTGGTACTGGGGACACTGTGATGAGTCACAGCCAGCCTCGGCCCTGCAGGAGCTCAACAAGGAGCGAGAGAGAACCAGAAATAGCTCCGGGCCAAGGCAGATGAGGAATGTGAGGTGAGAGAGGGACAGAGAGAGGGTGGCTGAGAAAGCTGCCTGATAGGGCCGGGGGCTTCCAGAAGGAAGTGGGCCTTCCACCAGGTGACTGCAGGCCAAGGTGATGACATATCAGAAGACAAATGGGTCACAGGACAGGGTCAGTGCCAGGCTCAGGCCTCTTTCCAAATAGATGGGACATTCCCCCACTGCAGGGCACTGTCTGCACCATCTCAGAACCCTCCACAGCGGTAATACGTGTGTAGTGTCTACACAGCAGTAGTTTTCACCAGTATTTCCTTCTTAGCAGTGGAATTCTTTCTTCCAACAAAAATAAGTATGGCAGGAAATCACACCCATGAGCTGTTTTTGAAGGCCTTGTCTAGTTGAAGCAGGAAGAGAGCTTTACCCCCCCCAGCAGGCTTGTCTCCTTCCCCAGCCTAGAGGCCCCTGTGGGTCTCCATGGAACTTGATTGGGAAACAGTGCTGGACACTCAAGGGACACCTGGGATTATGCTGGACATGGTCAGGTCAGAAGACCTGTACCTGGTGTTACTTGCTGGGAGTAGATCTGATCCCATCAGCTCTTGCTGCCCCCTCCAGCCCAGCTGCCTCCAGGCTGAATCTGGACAAGACTGGACCTGCCCTGCCAGTGCCAACCTACCAAAGGAAAGAGTTGTCCTAGCCTGAGCCAGTTTAGGAGAAAATGACATTTTTAGCAAAGCATGTCCCTAGAGTCTCTTCCAAGAGACTCTGGTTGCCGAGTTTAGCCCCCAGCCAGTGTGCTGAAATAACAGTACCCACTAATAATAGCTCTTTTCCCCAGAGACACACACACCTACAGCCTCACACACCTCCGGCCGCCTCAACGTACTTGCTGCTCATTCATCTACAGAGCTCCCTCTTTCAATGTCTGTGCACATAGACACACATGCATTCCTGCCTTCATCCCTTTGACTTCATCCTTGACGACACACACTACAGACACACACACAAACACAGATGCATTCAGGTGCACCCACTGGTATTTTTCTAACAGATACACTTACACCTGCAGAGCTCCCTCTGCCCGCACATTTGTCTGCACAGACACGCAGCAGCATGGGTGGGAGGGGGGAGCAGGACCCTTCCAGCCCAATGGCCCCATCCGACAGGTCGGACCCAGGCATCCCTCCTGCAGAAGGCGGCGAGAGGGACAGCCCCTCTCTCTGGGCAGGGTTCAGTCCTCCCACACACCCGCCCATCAGGCCTGCATCTGGCTCCTCAAGGCCTGCCCAGGACCCAGAGGCCAGCTTACTGTCCACAGCTCTGATTCCTCAGCCTTCCGGCAATGTTCCAGAAGGCAGAAAGCTCTCTAGGCTGACCTCGTTCCTGATTTCTCAGGGAGAGAGATTTGAGCCTCCCGATACACGCATCGCTCAGTTATCCATCCCCACTCATAGCCTGGGGATAATTTTTCTTCTGCTTGACGTGAGTAAGATCTACTCTTCTAGCAACTGCTGACTGTAGGCAAACATCCCTGCTATCAGTCTGTGCTCTTGGAACTATCTCATCTGAGTGGCTATACCAAAATGGGCACAAGACGCAGAACCTGGGAGTGGGGTGGAGGAAACCTGGGAGGTTCCTGGATTTCCCGGGACGGAGGTGGATCCCCACCCATCCCCACCCCCGCCACATCTGAGATGGGAATGCACTTTTCCAAGGGGACAGATCCCAGGGCCAACAGCCTGCCGTGCACCTGGAGGACTGACACACCCTCTCCCTGTCCAGAGAGCACCGGGAATTGTGATGGGAGCAGGTGCCTCCAAATGACCCCAAGTGCCAGTCAGAGTTCACTCCTCACCAGCTTCAAGTCCCCACGCTGTGGTTTTATCCTGGACCAAGCAAAGTAAAACACCTGCTTCACTGTACTCTGCATACGGAGGTGGGGTCAAAGAACCAGTGCCCACATGTCCTATCCTGCCCCTCTCCACAGAGCATGTCGGTGTGCCACCCAGGCTGTCCCTCCATGCTGGCCTCACCAAAGGGGGCCTGCAGGGGCTGGAATGTGCCTGCCCCTCGGTGTCCTCCTCTGCATGGAGGAGCTGTGCACCAGGCCTGCCACTGCCCGATGGGCTTTCTGGTAAATGCCCCTTCCTGTAGGTCACTCTCTAGCCTTGCTCTCAGCCCCACTCACCCATCAGGTGGTGCCCCTCCACAGCAGGGTCAGCCTCGGGCTTGGAGCAGATCTTGGCGAATACTGGGAGCTGCCTCTTCTGGGCAGGGAGCTCAGGGAGCTTGTCAGGGGGTGCAGGAGAGGTGGGGGGCGGCAGCAGCAGGAATGGGCCCAGCCCAGCGGGCTCCCTGGGTCCAGGGCCATTGAACATGCTGTTCTGCAGGAAGTCCTTGATGACTCTTGTCCCCTCCAGCACCATCTTGTTGTCGGGGTCCTGGCACGTTTCTGCGGACTTCAGGGGGAACTGGGCCAGGAGCTTGCTGATCTCTGAGTTAGAGACGCCCAGGCTGTGGCCCCCGTCCTCTGTCCCCTTGACACTCTTAACCTTGGCAGCACGCAGGATGCCCGTGACCGTGGACATGGCAGAATCGCAGTCCTGCCGGCTGCTCATGAGGGACATGGTCACCTTCGGCTCCAAAAGCTTGGCACTGGCGGTGAGGGCAGCTGCTGGGCGCTCACTGTTGCCTGCCACCAAAGGCAGCCCAAGAAGGCCGCCTGGGTCTGGCTGTCTGGGTCCCTCAGGAGAGTTGCCCGGCACCTCCAGCTCCCCAGGGCTCTCTGACACCAGGATGAGGTTCTCTTTGGTGAGGCTCAAGAACTCCTGCTCCACCAACAGGGAGATCTCATCTTTGTAGCTGCTGAACTCCAGTGCCCTGCAAACAGGTCAGACAGACAGACAGACAGACAGCACCAGGGCCAGTTTAGTAAGGGGGGTTCTGCAGGGGAGACAGCCCCGGGGTATGGGAGTGGACAGAACACCTTTCAGGTAAAAGCAATATGTCGCTTACTCAAGAGAGAACATGGTGGCTCTATGCACACCAGCACACTCGGTACCAAGAGCACAGTGCGGGGACAGGACGCTGAGTCCTCTGCTCCTGACACCACATCTTGCTGAGGGCACCAGGCCTTAATTTCAGTCCATCCTCCCTCTTCAGTCATGCCCCGGACCTGAAGCAATAAAGGCCTTGCAGCAAAGGGGCCAGAGGGAGCCCTCAGCCCTGAGCACCCAGTCCAGGGCGCGGAGAGTGCATGAGAAAGGGGCCTGGGTGGGTGGCTGGAGCTCACGCCTGGCTCTGTCCCTTCCCCGCTCTGAACAGCTAGCATCTCAGTACCCCTGTGTCCTCATGTGGCTGACAGGAAGTCACAGAGGGGCAAAGCACATCTGGCACAGAGTAAAAGGGACACAGGTGTCCACTAGGTTGTCCACACTAGCCCTCTGGGTCCATGGATCCTGGATTCCACTGTGGAATGCCTGGGTCTCTCTTGGGCCTGGGGGCCAGGGGCTGCCTGCTGTGCTGAGCACTCATTAACCCCTTAGTAACTGGGTCCTGATTGGATGGAGGGAGGTATAGGAAAGGGGTCGGGCAGTGGGGGCAGTCGGGAGAGCACAGGAAAGAGCTAACGCTATGGTTCCGTGTCACTGTTCTAATAAGGGGACAGCCGTGCCTTCTGAACACCAGCCTCACCAGGCTTGGAGGCAGGGAGCAGTGCCTGGAAGGAGCAGGCTCAGTCAGGCCAAAGGCACATGGGTCTGCATCCGGGTGTCACTGGCTATTTCACATCAGACCCTGGGACTTCAGGGATCTCCCTTATAACATGGGTGTGACGCTAGCAGCACCACCTCTGCTGGGGTGAGCACTTGGCGAGCTGGTGCAGGTGAGCATGCTGCTCTTACCTGAGGCTGGGGGTGGGGGGTTGGGGGGGGCATGCTCTTGGTGTCTCCCTTCCCTCTCCCCTCCTCCCCCTCTCTCCCCTTCCCTTGTCTATGAACAGGCCCCACTCTCACTGCGCTGTCCCCAGGGACAATCAGCCTCAGAGACCCAGCCTCAGAGACCAGGCATCGGAAGTTCCACTTCTTGTCACTCCCCTCGAAATAATTTGCAAAGCAAACTATATAGCAATAGTTATTCTGAATAAAGAAGACATAACAATTATGTTAATTTTTAACTTGTGATAAGGTATTGTGATTGTACTGATACCACCCAAATAAAAGTCCTTATTTTTGGAGACACATACTAAAGTGGATAAAAGCAAGCCTAGCATTGCTTTAAACTTCATCCAGCAAGGGCAGGCAGAGCTGGGAGATGGACTAGACAGGCCTGGCACTGATCTCTGCTGCTTGGGGCTATAGGTACAGGGGTTCCCTGGCGCTTGACTCCCTCTGCTTTTGTCTAGGCTTGGTTTCTGATTTGTTTTGTGTTCTAAATAAAAGCGGGACACAGTACAGGCACCCACACAAATCTCTGCTGAGGGCCTCCCCGGTGGCGCAGCTGTTGAGCACTGGGTTGCGAAGCTGCCCGCAGCCTCTGCAGCGCCGGTTCGATCCCCGGCCACCAGGTGAGGGTCCCACATGGTGCGCAGACCTCCCCTGCCACGCCCGCTGCTCCCCTCAGCAGTGTACTTCGTCAGTCTGCCTGTTCTGTTCTCCACTCTGGCTCTGGTGAATTCTCTCACCCTCTTGCACTTCTGACTGTACCCAGTGCTTGTATAAATAAATAAATAAATCTTTAAAAAAAAAAATCTCTGCTGAATCTTCTAAAACAATAGCTCCGGGGAGAAGTCAAAACAGCTTCTAAAAGACCCCCGGGTTCCTGTACCAAAAAACACCCCACAGGTGGTCTCTCCCTTTTCAGTCCCTGTGAGGACGCACCTAGCGCCCCCAGACCTGGGGGCCGGCAATGGAGAGCACCCAGCAGAGGCTCACACAGCCTCCATTCCTCTGGGCACATCATAGAATGGGGTTTCTTATAAGCTGGTGTTCCCAGAAGGGGCAGTGAGGGCCAAGAGAGGCCCCCTCTCCCAGCTGTGGATGCTCCATGCGCACCGAGAGGCTGCCCAGACACTCACCATCCCTGGGACAACTTCTACAAACCCCATTTCATGCATTTATCATGAATCCAGTACAGGCCGGCCAAGTAGCCAGGCACCACCTTCACTCACATTTAATCCTCTCCATGCCCCTGAGCAATGGACAGTGTCACCACCACTTTACAGCTGGGAAACGTGAGCCTGAGAGAAGCTAAGGACCTTGTCATCTGTAGGTGAAGAGGCTGGGTCAGATGCCAAAGGGTCCAACTGACTTGCTAACCCCTCCCACCCCTGCGGGGCTTCCTCTCCAGGATAGTGATGGGAGCTCCCCCTGCTCTGTGCAGGGCTTTGTTCCCCAATCCCACGCAATCAGGGTGTTGCTGGTCTCATCCCATCACTGCAGCAGGGTGGATCATCATGGATCCTGTGCTGTCTTGTGGCATTAGCTGTCCCTGCCAGCCCCACATCAGCCGCATGTCTTATGAGCACGCCTTCTGAGACTCACGCCAATTTGTGGATAGAAATCTTGAACAGAGAGAGTCTGGGGCCAAGTCTTGGGGATACTGGCAGGGACCGTCCCCCCAGCCTGACAGTAATCCTGGATCAACATTTTGGGGGAAGAAATCAATCCAGTCCCTATTACCCCTCCACTTCTCTAAGACAGCCTTTCGCAAGCACCTCACTGCAGTCAAGATCCAGCACACGGTCCCTGATTGAGGTCTCCCCCACCTGCCACCCCTGTCCCCAAGAAAACAAGATTCACTTGTTCTTATTTGTCCGAGAACACTACAGGCCCACAGAGCGCAGCTTGTCTCAGAACTCAGATCAAACTGGCCCCTCCGGGTGAGCCCGCAGGTGGGTTCCCATCACAGGCAAGGAATCCAGACTCCTCTGAGCCCCAGGCACTATGCCAAGGGGCATAGTCCACTTGCACGTCCCCTCACCCCAGCACTCTGGAAGATATCAGGCTTGTTCAACCCCAGGGCCTTTGTATTTCTTATGAACTAGATTGTCCCTTAACCGACTCCCTCTCATTATTTAGGCCTCAGTTCAAGTTTCATTTTCTCAAAGGAGCCTTTCTTGCCCATTTTTAAGCCTCCCACCCCCTCACATGACAACCTCTGCTCCAACGATCTGTTTATTTTCTTTCTAGCTTTTATCACAATCCAATGGCACCTCTTTCTTGTGCCTTTACTCTCCACACAACAGTCCTGTAGGAGGGACCATGGCTTGCTTGTCACAGAGGCCTGGGGCCTGGAGCATTGGTTGCTACAGGACTCCTGTGCAGCCAAGTCATTGGCTGAACAGGCAGATGGCCCAGCGCCCGTGGGCCAAGTCTTGTCCATCTCCCACCGCTCTTGAAGCCTGTTGCCCAAAGCTGCTGACTCCTTCTGCTGGTGGTGACCTGTCCGGCTCTAGCTCCATGTCCAGCCTCCCATCTCATCGCAGGCCTGGCATAGCTGCGAGCTGACGAGGTGACACCAACCACTCTGCTCGGTCCGGGTCTCAGAACTTGCAACCTCAACAGGCAGCCCCACAGCTGCCCCCACCCATGGTCCCCTGCCTCTCAGCAACCCACCACCCACAGCAAGGTTTCCGTTCTCCCTACACCCTCTCCAGACTTAACAGCAAGGTGGTTCACCTGCGTGTCCTGAAGTCTGCCTTGTCTCCTCTTCCTAAGAAGTTGTGCTGAGCCTGGCATCTTTCCCATGCTACTTGCTTTCCCCTTTGAGTTGGTAAAACCATAAAATCTACCACAGATTCTGTCACAGTGAATCATGGAGGGAGGTTAACCCAGCTCCCGGCTCTGACGAAGGAAGCCAATTCCCCTGACGGGTGCCACGGCCTGGGGCGGTAGCCACACCTCTGCTCTACCCCCTCCTGGACGAGTGTGTCGGTGGTGGCTCTGTGCACCAACACCGCATTATTTCTGCATTCGCAGTGCATGGAGTCGTGTGAAAATAAAGGCTATTGACTGGCTGGCACCCCTTCCCAGAATAATGACTAAGCAAGCGTGCTGTTCGCTCCCCGACAGCAGTTCTGTGTACATGATAACACAGAGCAAAGATGAAAACTGCTATTCATCTGAGCCAAACAACAGAAAAACGCAAGCAGGAAATTGTTAGTGCTGGAAGAGGACACCAAAACAAATATTTCCTTCCCACTCTGGCATTTCAGACCAACGACAAATGCAACCAGGCCCAGCGCCCGGGAGCATGGCGGATGGCGAGGGGAAGCAACTGGGGAGCGGTGGGATGGGGCTCACAGCTGACGGAGAAGGGCCAGCCGCTCACAGGCCAACCTCGCATCCGTGGGTGACAGTCTGCCTTCTCCACGTCTGCATGGGTGAAGCAGCAGAGCCTAGTGGCTAGGGGCTCTGGATGCGGAAACTGGATTCAAATCCCCACCACTCTGTGGAGGCCAGACCTCCAGCAAGCTGTCTAATGAGCTTCTAGGCCTCACTCACCAAACAGTAACACTTATGGAGAGCTACTGGGCCACCAGGTATTGCTCAGCTCTCTATGTGCAAAAATCTCGTCTTAATGCCCACAACAGCGCTGGTGGGGGAGGCAGTATGGTGGACTGATTGAAGTCATGGCCCCATTTGATCACTTCCTGTACCCCGACTCTCTGGTGGTTCAGCCCACCTTGCTTTAGTCATAGCAGAGACTTGGAATGCTCTTGGGGATTAGGGTTCAGCTCTTGTTTCTCTTGGGACTCTCTTGCATGTGAAGGAGCCCAGAAGTCTGCTGGGGATGACACACCCCAAGGTTCTGGCCAACGGTCAGCCAGACCCAGTGCGGCAGCTGTGTGGAGAGCCCCAGCCTCACGGTCAAGCCCAGCC